AACAAAAGGACAGCAGCTTGTCTGTTCCCCTTTCCTGATGCCCCAACACTGTTCCCCTCCCCCAATTCCCCAATAAAATCTTAAAAAAAAAGATTAGGAACATGCTAATTTATAAAAAAAAAAAGAAATATGGATTTCATTCTGAGACCTCCTCCCCTCTGGGGTTCACCTAAAGAGCTGTAGGCAGTGAAGTTCATTTAGATAATTATGGCAACCCCAATGCAAATAATAGACAAGGGAGGCAAAACTGGAGGCCATGGGGCCATTTAGGAAGCTTTTGTAGAATTCCATCTGAGAGATTGATAGTTTGAGCCAGGGTGGATGGGAAACAATGGATGGGACCCATGGATGTAGGTAATTGGATATGGGGATTACGGGAGAGGGAAGAATTGATGATAGATCTGGTGTTTGGTTGGGGCAACAGGAAGGTTCCATTTGCAGACACAGAGGATAAGGGAGAGAGATTAGATTTAGGGAGGAGAGACTATAAAAGCAGGTTGACTTTAAGGTAGGACATCCAATGTTTAAGTCTGAGATTTAGGAGGGAGATTCTGGATAGAGATAAAAAAATGCGGACGTTGTCAGCACATGGGTGTTTTGAGAGTGTGTCAGACAGATGGAATCCTAGGGCAGAAGCTTGAGGAAAACCAATATTTAAGAGATGGGTAGAGGTAGAGGAGCCTGAAAAAGAAACTGGGGCATGGGCAGAGAGGTGGAGGGAAAGCCCACAGAGTACACAGTTGGGGATGTCGGATCAGAGAGTGCTTCCAGAAGGAGGGTGTGGCTAACAAGGACAAATGTTAGGGAAAGCCTAAGTAACAGGAGGACTAAGAAGTGACTGTTGACTCTAGTGACATGGAAGTTGTGAGTGACCCGCTGAGCGCAATTTAGGTGGAGCACTCACTGCAGGCCATTGTTGACTTAAAAGGTGAGCAACTGGTGAGCATAGATATTTGGCTCTAAAGAGGAGAATGAGGCCCATTAGCTGAAGAGGCATATTGAGCTGAAGTTGTACATATCTACAACCATTTCTACACCCAGGTTTTGTCTTTTAGGTTTACGAGACTACAGTCTGTTTAACGGCTGAAGGGAAGGAGTAAGTAGAGAGGGAGAGAAACATAGAGGAGAGAGGAGAGAGGAGAGGAAACTAAAAGGGTATGTTTGGAAGAGATGGGATTCATGGCTGGAGGATGAAGATAGCTGCCTTGACAAAAGAAGGGACGCGTCTTCTACTGAGCCAGATAGGAAGAAGCCAAGATGAGGAGGACGGTGAGTTTGATGTGGTGTTGGGAAGGGTTCCTGCCAGGTGTTTCTGCTTTTTCAGTGAAGTAGCAGGTAAGGCATCTGTTGTCGACAGTGAAGGCAGAGCTGATGGGGTAAAAGGTTTAAGGAGAGAAATGAAGACTTCAGTTGGATTCCGGGAAGAATGAGGAAAGAAGCTGGCAAAGGAAACCACAGAAGAATCGCTTGGAACGTTGAGGACCGGGGTGGCTAAAGACCATGGATTTCGATTCACAGTGAATCCTTCAGCTGTGGGGCTTTTCTCTGTAGTAATCAGCTGCCAGGGTGTGGGTGTAAGGAAGGCAGGACAGTTGGATTCTATTTTTAGGATCCTTAAAGTTGGAGGAGCTTTTTGTACCT